GGAAGCAGAGCAACTGAGGAAGACAGTAACTGTGCAATGAGAAAATAAGATAATGGGAAAAATATTTTTATAAATTATAATACATGTAGTGTATTTAAGAAAAATTATAAAATAGCTATAACTATATGATTCTGTCTAGGCCAGCAGAGAAGGCCTTGCTGGCCCTGACGGCCCACCACTGTGTAAATAAGTAACAAATAGCTCTTTCACCAGTGGTGGCTGCGTGTTTGGGGAAAAAGTAGAATCCAGTGGCTCAGCCTATTTTGAAAACTTGTTTTGAATTGTCCTGACTCAAACCCAAATTCCTTGAATTTCTTTCTCATCCTCATGAGGTACAGTTGCCGTTAAAAGCCCCCCCCACACATGTTACCATTGCATTGTCTGTATGGAGAATTGCCATACATGTATAATTCATAATCTAACAGACAACACTGTGCAGTAATAATGCAACTGTTCCACTCGCTGTGAATGAAGCTTACCCGCACAATGACAGCTGACATTAGAAAATAGAAAAAGAATATATAAATTTTAAAGAAATACAACCACATCAGTTAATCTGATGTTAAATAAACACCTAGAGAAAGCATCCTTTTCCTTTTAGAAAAGCCTCTTGATTCCATCTTCTAATTAATTACTGGCTGCAACACCTTGGCTGTGCCAACATGAAGAGTGACGTGTCCCCGGGCCCCCGGTCACATCCACCAGCAGCCCCTGTGGCAGGGGAGCTGTGTTTTTAATCACCTGGCCACTGGCAATATTAAGCCAGAGGAACCCGTCACCCACTCTGCACACAGATGCTTCTTCATTCGTCTCTGCCGGAGGTCAGTGTGTGTGAGAAAGTGCTGCCTGCTGCGCCCTCGAACCACTGCGCTTCTTCTCTTCCCCATTCAGAGCCTCTTTAAGGTGCCACGTGTTGCATTTTGCCCTCGATGAATCATTACCACATTAGTTCTGTGGCATTAGTCTAATTGCTGTAAACAGAAGACGATTGTGGAAGCCTCTTCATTACATTTTGCCACCAGGTTTGGCAGGAAATCTATTGGATCGCTCCACAGCTACAGCCTCCATTCATGAAACATATTAGGGAATGGTTTGACTTTGTACAGTGTTCAAAGTAGTTTGGAATTGACATTCGTGGACCTTTTGGCTGTTATGGCCCTAAAAGATTGAGCTGATTTTCACCTGAATGCTGCCTCCCTAAAGGGACGTCTGTATGTATCTCACCACCTCTTTCTGCTGTCACCAGAGATCCTGCAACCTGCAATTCCTCTCTTTGTAAAAACTTACATCCAAGTGAAGGCCGAGACAGCTCCAATATCCACAATCCTATTGGTGCAAACCAACATAGCTGGAGGACAATGTCTTATACGCAACAGCATATGGACATAATACTTATATGTGATACAACATTGCAGTTGGAATCCCCGCTCAGGCCTACACAACAGCTGTTAGCCACAAACTTTATACTAGCGACTTCAATTCAACATATAGCCGCAGACATCAGCCTCTCTCATGTTCCAGCTGGTTGCATTTGATACATTGTAAGAGCTTTAGAAACCCTTTTGTGGTTCGATATTTATTTTAATTTGCACACAGAAACTGGGTTCAACAGAATGTTGTTCAGAGAACAAATTATGTTCTTGTTCAAGAAACAACAACTAATAAGGACCAGGCCACAATTTGTTCAAAGAACGATATTAAGATACGTAAATTGCAGGTTAAGACATCTCTTTGGTCTAGGTGTTGCAGTTATCAGAAAAAAGTTGAAAAGCCATTTTCAACATAGTGATTTGACTTTGTTGATGATGGATGACACAAAGAAAGAAAATGACACAGTTAAAATAGACTTGGACGAGAAACATATTTCCTTTTTGGATGGGTCTCTCTCAGCATGCTATTTTTATTTCTACAAAAAAAAATTTTCTTCTATTTTTCTTAAGCCTACTGATCAAGAGAGCTTGCCAAGGTTGTCTTTTACTCTGAATGTCTGTATTATATCAGCCTTCATACTGGTCCAAACATGTGATTATGGTAAAAAGGACAGATAATGTATCCTAAACCATAGGAACATGTTCAGGATACATATACAGACAAACACTTGTGTGCTTGGCTAATTAACCGATTTCTTAGGATTCAGTGTATTTTTCCCCACACGTGCACTTTGCCAAACTGTTGAACTTTTGTCAACTTTCACCATTTTGCCTTTAAAGTAGCAGTGCACTGCTCTTTTGCAAAGTCTATATACAGTATGTTGTCTTTGTTCTGGAAACTTCCTTTAGACTTTTCATGTAGAACGAGGTGCTGAGAGATTGTGAGAAAACAAAGCCTAATCTGCAAAATTGTAGCACTTGCTGGCTTCCTGGGGACAGCTGCTAGGTGGGACATTATATTTAGGCTCATCCTAAATATAAGCAAAGATAACCAAATTTCATTTTGAGCTAAAATATTCATCATAACTTAAAATAACAAAAGAAATTCCATTTATCGTTGCTTTCCTAAAATATATAAAATATAATATTACGTAAGGTCCAGCCAATTAGGCAAAGCCACGCCTCCTACTCCTGTCGAAGCGCGTGTCAGTGTTTACAACTTCGATGAGAGGATGTAGCGGAACTATATTCATCTTTGAAAATGTATAAAAAGGAAATGTGGAGGACCTAGTTTGAATGGTCCTGATGCTGCTGATAAAATGAATGGCATCGTAATCTTTAATATTCAGGTGCTATACAGCCATAGCTATAGACTTATGTTTAAATTGTATAGCCAGAGGCTCATTGGATCATATGAGGACTAATTTCTTTACGTATTCTCTACTTTAACTTTAACCAAATTTCCACACAAACCAATTTCCAACAGGCTCCAATAAAAAGGCTTTGTTTAAACCCAAAACCAGTTCACAGCTGGGTCTACTTACATTGTATACATGTGTACGTGTGTGTACTTATGAGTATATAGATATTAATTGTGTCTCTTGGGCAGATTCATTTGTGGGGATGAAGGCGAAATATAGTCAGCCAGCATTAAAGGCATTACACTAATATTAATGGGGGACTCAGCACTGATCTTTGTCATATTATGGAATGAGTGCTGCTTGTAATCGTCCTTTTCATAACACAATTCATCTTGTCATCAGTCCTGGTTGTGCGATCCAGTTTTGTGAATGAGGGCATCCTTAATGTGTAAATGTCTGAATAGAAATGGAGCATCAGTTACAAGTAATTACCTAAAGGAGGGACTGCACAGCTCATTTCTTTTCAGCTATAAATCATACACAGTTATGATTCTGCTATGGCTGTAGCCAATGCTAAACCGATGCTCATGTGTGGAATAGGCCTTCTTGTGTTTAACTGAATTGTACATGTGTTAGTGAATTATGTGATACTGGTTGAATATGTTATAAACTAGGATCCACGTTTACAGCACGTTCTTGGGTGGCATTTGGTGAACCAACTGAGCATTGCATGCTAATAGAATAGGTAAATTCAAAGGTCAATGGGATACACAGCATGTCACTGCAGCTCAGATCCCCTGGCGCTAACCACACATTATGGCCATGTTATTCATGGCTTTATATTTATATTAAGAAAAAGAAATCCACAGTATTATCTTCTTTCATCGTTTACTTATTTACTGTTTTAAATTATTTTAATGAAGTAATACGTTGTCTTCATCACAATTGAGTGAAATAAAAAATAAAAATGAAGTCCCATTGATTTAGTTATTATTCATCATCGCCGGTAATTACACTAAACTTACAGCCTAAGCTAACATGTTGGTGTCTGTGCACTAAGCTGACCTTATCAATGTCATACCATGAAAAAAAATATTTATACCCCAAACCACATTACAAATATAACATTAAGCTTTTATTTTCTGTTCAGCTCCTGATAGAGCGGTGCTCATTGATTTTGTGCATAAAGAAGTGGAGACCAGTATCTTACCTTATCCAACAGAATAGAGTGCTGCACCATTGAATCCTAAAACCTGGAAATAAGGTCTGTGGTCAACACAAGATGAAGAGATTTTATCGTTTTGTTGTACGATATAAAATACGTCAGTAAATACTTTAATTTAGAAGCTTTTACGTGTCTTTAAAAATGACGTTGTCCTCACTGGAACACCAGTCCTCCTTTAGCTCAGTGCTGGAGACGTGAAGTCATGTGACTGTGGTGTAGTTTGTTTTAACATTGTTTTTACGTTTCAATAATCATAAAAGTGCTGTTTATTTGTGAATATTATCAAGTATGTAAGTATCATGAACATGTGTTTGCCACAGAGCTTATTTTTTGCAATAATCCAAGATCCAATGGAGAAATCCAATTGGCTATTTGTGGAGGGGACCAGTGCGATTCTAACTTCCGGTTGGACTACAAAAATGTCATCCCTACACCACTCTGTATGGTAAAGAAAAAGACAGAAGTGATGGTAGTCTAGTTGCCTTAATGTCCTATACACGCTGGTTGGTTCTCCTGTAACACCACTACTATGTCTCAGCCCCAAGGATCAAAATCATTTTGCTTTTTACTGAAACCAAACTCTCCTAAACTACACTGAAGAAGATACATGAATTTTCCTCAGCCTGTCTTATCTGTTGCACTAATGATCTTAGAGTTTAAGTTGAATTACAGTGAAGAAGGATCACTTCTGACCCATGATTTGATGCTACAATCTCACAGGGTACACTTAATCAAGAACCCAGACAAACACATCAAGTTGGTCCAGTCAGAGAGATGGAATTATGTCTTACTCCAAATCAGTCCGATGCCTGTCTAATGAGCAGTGTGGCAGAGATACACGATGAAGAAAATCAATCACGTAAAACACCACAGCGAGCCAGAGAATTGTCAGATTTGTCAGCTAATTTCATGCTAATTGAGTCCCCAACCCGTGGGTTATTTTTAACCTCATCGCTGTTCTGATCACGTGGCGCAGCGAGCCCTTTGCTCACGTGTTATTAATTAGGCTAAAGGCATCAATCATGATTTTCTTTCTCCCCTTAGTACCCGCCAGGATCACTGAAATATCGAAGGACGTCACAGTGAATGAGGGCAGCAACGTCGATCTCATGTGCCTGGCGGTGGGTCGACCGGAGGCCAACATCATATGGAAGCATCATTCACCAAGAGGTAAGCCACAAGGTCATATATTTCTATTGGATTTGTCTTGCTCCTGACGCTGTGTTTTATGTAAATGTATTGAATGGAGAAGGTGTTGGTTGATACAGGTAGAAAATGAAGATGAGCAAAACATCGAGTCGTAAACTCGAGATATCTGTGTGCAGTTACAGGAAACAGGATTACTGGGCATAACAAAAACAATCTTTGGTTACTATTTGGAGCTAGAAATTCAAGTGCAGCTTAAATGGGACACAACCAACGTGAGGATGAATTTTTACTGATACTAATATGTTATTTTTTCTTATTGTGTCATATATCAATACAATCCTTGCCTCAATTTGGTTACCTTGTAATGCAGGTTTTTCAGAAATCATTTCTTTTCAAACTGTCAGAGGTAATTCAGACATTTCACAAAACAAATGTGTTGGGCAAAGCTGCAAGAGCATTACCTGGGTGTAAAGGTGATTGAGCCCTCCCTCCTACGCACATGGCCTGATGTCGACGTTCCCACACATTACACACATCAAACACTTGCTTCACATGAATATTCGCCTACGTGCAGAGCAGCCAATTTACCTACAGCGGGATATGAATCTGTAGCTTTTGTGTTAACATAGCCACGAGAGGATTTATGATGAATAATTCCCGACTTTAATCTGTTGTCTTAAGCCTTGTTTTCTTCTCAACTTGGTGGATTGCAGGGGTTGAAACTGCTCAACCTGTGGCCTGACAAGGCCTCGGCTCCAATCAACCATGATTTGGCTGGAGGCCACAGCTGCTTGGGTCTGTTCTGTGGTGCTGGCACCTCGCAGCCTGAAGGAGAGCCAAGCTGCTCTGCGTGTGTGTGCACGCATGTGTGTTCTGTGTTCTAATTGTGTCGGCTCTGCGCTTCCCACCGAGCATTCAGCAGTGTGAGTCATGCGCCGCTTCTCTATAGGATCAGATGTTCAGCCTCCAACATGACATGAATGCTTACAGCCCAGCTGTTCCTCTCCTACACCCCGTAATCTAGAGCCGACAGAATCTGCTTCTCACAGCCCAGTGGCTCTCCACCACCTCAGCCATCCACAGCGTTTATTGGTTCCCCAATATTTACTCTGAATATCATGATCGCCCCCCAACAACCCGTTTGTTTGAAGTGGGGATTGTAATCACATTCAAAAGGAAAGGGACTACTTTAATGACTCACTAGCCAGATGGTGCAATTTACACTGACTTTATACTTCGTAACACCCCTCTCAGGTCTGAGTTCAATTTATGCTTTTGATATACATACAATTTGGCACCAGTTTAGCACTTAAAAGCAAATTCTACCCCCTAAAATATTGTAATATTTCCCTCCAATACAAGCTGCTGCAAGCAAGCAATGTGCTGCCAACAAAGGCTGGTACAAGCTGCATAACCTAATGCCCTTTTAATGCTGGACCCCTGCAAGCTCAGATTTAGTTCACAAAGTCAACAAGTAAGGAAGAAGAAGTGAAGAAGAGTGTTTTATTTTGGTTTTACAAGATGACAATCATAGGAAATGTGTCAATAGGTTGTCATGCGGTTTGAAATTGCCCCAGCAGCAGAAAGAAAAGATGTCACTCCTCACTACCAACCCTGAGCTGATGCACAGCAGCACGAATGGTGGCACATGAAGCAATATAATTACAAATCATAAAGTAATACACAGGCATCCTGGGAGCCCGGTATGATGCGTTTATGTTTGTGTGTATGTGTTATTGTCAGCAGGGAAGATAATGGGTTATCTTCCCTGACATTTGTCTGAGTTGCACTAATGAATAGCATGACTTTGTGGGGAGATGTTTGGTCAGCCGAAGAAATTCTTGCTGGCAGTCAGAATCCTAAATGTTTTTCTTCCTGCAGAGCGGCATTTTCCTGACTTGCTCCTCACCGTTTGCTTTTGATATTTGTCACCAGCGATAATGGACTGTTCCCTCAGAGGATAGTGTTTGTGTCTGTTAGTAGTACAGCACTAAAGAGAGCAGTCTTCTCCCTGAGTTAAACCACATTTCTAGGAAGTCTCAAATCTGCAATGGAACTGCCTTCCCAATGGGATAGTCGTTTTTCCATAGCACATCACTAAAAATATTCACACCGCCATGGTGTCGGGAACACAAGCAAATGCACTGCAGCAGCTGATGATGCAGACACATGCCTCACCTTTTACCACGAGAATGACAAGTGACGGGAGAAAAATGGCAAACATGTAAGAAATATGGAAATCCTGAAACAATTGCAGAGCGGTTTGAGCCTGAGGTTTGTTAACACAACCTAAAGTGAGTTATTGTCAGATTCCCCGTCACCATTTAATATCAATCTTGTGTCTGCACTGTTTAAAACCTCATCCCACTCTGACGGCCCGCATTAAAAGGTGTTAATGGAATATTTGTGTTATGCACACAACTGCCCTGTAACATGAGTATTAATGTGATATCTCATTAGAAAGCTACGGTTCTTGGAATTCGATTTCTGCAAACCATTTCAAGATACAATAACAACAGCAGGTAGAGTTAACGTCTCTGTCAAACAAGCACTCCAAAAATAGCCGATAAAATATCGCCATGACTCACCGATTATGATCCATAACGTGCCCCTTGTGCATGCTAGTCCAGCAAAAACGGTCTTGCGAGGTGGCTAAGGGTCCGCTCGATCAAATCCAGTAAAAGATTTAGTCCAAAACACATTAGTACGTCTATAAAGACCCACGGGGGGCTGTTGCATCATTTCAAATTAGCCAGCAGATATGATAACTCGCGATCATATTTCGGGCATAACTTCACGTTCAGTGTCAACAGAGCGGAGATTTTCATCGCAAAGTGGAGCCTACATTCCGCCGGTTAGATTGACACCTCATTTGACCCAATAGGAGCTTCTATAGCCCGGTCACAGTCTGGAACAGCCAACGAGAGTCCGCTTTGAAAGACAATGCCCGCCTCACTTCTTTGGGTATAGCTCGAGCCAATCGCAACAGATCCAGTTCAAACTCAGGCTCCATATAGCCAATGAAATTACGAAGCCAAGGATATGCAGATTTATCAGATTGAATGCTGGGAAAGTTTTCAAAGCTGCAATTGAAACCGTGACTGAGGTAACTGGGACAGATTATCAAGACCAAGGTCTGGTTCATGAGAATTTTCAAGAATCTGTGAAAGTTGATAATAATTAAAAATGATATAGTTAACCATACATTGACATAAATAAACTATAGTTTGAATTTCGGACACGTGGTTTGTCGTAGTATATGCATTTTGATATGGTGATGTAAGCCTCCAAATAGGTTTTTAGTAAACAACTTGTGAAATATTAATTTTCTGTCGTATTGTTATCAAATTATAAGTTATACCAGGTACCATGACTCAATGGTGACGTAGTATTGTCTTTTCAGGCCTGTAAGTCCCATCCATAGATAGCTGCTTGCCATCTGTTGGTCAAAACAAATCTAGGTGGAAGTAAAATGCTTCTCTTTCACTGTGCTGAAAACGCATTAGCTCAATGCTAGTAGCACTTACGGTGATTCTGACTGATTGTGAAGAAACTTCAGAGTGTTGCCTTTCAATAGAGACTAAAACCATACATGTACTCCCAATGGTTCAATAAGAGCTGTCAGTTTACTTTGGGTACGTGGTTGATACGCGTTTTAAGGCAAATTTTACAGGAGTGAGAAGAGGTTTTAATGAAGGGAGTCTCTGAAGCCTCTACAGTATAGATGCCAATAAATCCTCCAATACAGATGGTGACACAAGTAAGAGCTCTGTGGTTGTTTACTTAATATCAGTTTAAGTCTCACCTTTATTTTGTGCACTGAGAGACTCAGTCCCCATTTCAACTCAGTGGGTACTATATAAATTATTCAGCAGTGTCCACTGAATCTCTGGCTGCTGGCCACTAGAAGGATTATAAGATATATGGTTGGGGGAAAACAGTTTATTCTGGGGACAATGCGATATGGATCCCTTCGACCCATTAAGACTCATTAAAGTGGATAGGTTGTGAATGTACACTCTCTCAGATGTCACTTGGTGCCTTTCCTTCTCTACCGACTTTGACACCTGGTTGTAATGTGTGCTGTCCTTTAGAGGTGCTGTGACTGAGGGGTATTGGTGTTTGCTCTCAGTTCCAGTGTAAAGTTGCCTATATGTATTGTCACAACAGAAACAACATTGTTATGTGATGACCATGATCTCCATGTTATGGGGATGCATGCTCTTCTTTCAATCATGTATCTTAGACATTGTTTGTATAGCAAAATAGTGTAATAATCATAGAAATGACAGCATAATGCAGCCAGAATGATGTTGTAATAACATGATCCCCTAACATTTCAATCACACCATCATCAGGTCAACAGTTCAATGTGTCTACACTATGACCAACATCCTGCAAAACTATTGAGATTCCTATTAGCCTTAGCTGTACTTTGCTAACTAGCTAAACTAAGATGGTTAACATGGTAGAAATAAACCTGTTAGCAGCACATTGTGTAAGTATAGCCTCACAGAGCCACGTGATGCTGTGCTAATGAACATTATCTGCAACATCACAAAATGTTCAATTTGTGAAACCATATCCTACCAACTCATTTAACATAGAGGGATTGAAGAAGATCCACCTGTGTGTGTTTCATTCAGAATGACTCACATTGTTTGATCGAGTGTCATACTAGATTAGGACCAATGGTAAACATTTGATCTGTCTGTTCTTATTTATCTATTTGAACTCCATACATGGGTACTTTAGATTGGGACCCCAATACATTGGTATTTAAAATGATCCTTTAAAAAGCACTAATTACAACAATGATATGAAGTAATTAAGAACAAATTGAAGTCATGAAAATGGAATGATAAAATAAATATGTGAGATATGACACAAAAATAGGCCTGTACCTTTGGGGTCTGCAGGGACCTGTGTTGGTAGGATGAGGGTTCATGTTTTCAAATTGAAACAAGTATGTTTTTTCCTACTGAGACTTCCGGCTTCATTTCTATTTTTTCATGTATTAA